CTTCGCCTGAAAATTGCCCTCACCAGAAAAAAATATGTCTTTTGCGGGGTCTAGGTATAGCTATAGCTGTCCAACTGTCGTGTTTGTGTTTTATTTGTTTCACTCTTTCATAATCATCAAATCCAGTAAAGAATAAGCTTCCAAGCCTCCCACGGTTTTGGTATACCCAAACCCAAACAGTCAAAGCGCCCTTCCAGAGGCCTGTGCGAACCGACCCGCCGGCTACGAGCGCCGTGGCCGCCTGTGGGCCGATGTCAATCACATGTTTGTTCACCGAGTTGCCTGATCCAACTTCCTCAGCAAACAGTCAATTGATAAAGATTATACATTGAACATCATTGAACCAGAGCCTGTTTGGGAGTTTGTTCAAGGAAGACATCCGATCAGATCATCCAACACTACGGAATGAAACTTTCCCATGGGGCCTCTCCTAATGAAGAAGAGATTTATAGTTTGGTGACCTCTCCACCTCTCCTGATTGACTTCTCATTTCATGTGCTGCTTCACGTGCTGCTTTACGGTCATGCCAATTCGTAATTCAAGCATGATTGACTTCCCCACCGAAGAAAAGATCCGACCTTCTGACCCCCCCCTCCAAAACATGAACAAACCATCCCTGGGGCGGGGTTCTTACTCCGGGGTCGACATGAAGGATGACCCGTTCACAATAGAAGAACTACATAAAATACTTGGAAAGCAAAGCCAATAACAAGAATCAAAAACCTGGAGTCGAGACAACGAACGAACTTGCCCGTATCAACAATTGATTCACTTCCTACAGGCATGCTTTCAATAGTCAAAAGAAATTTCTAGTCAGGACTCCAAACCAAAGCCTAGCCGAGATCTGAAGTAAGACTGCCACTTGCAACATGAGAGTGAAGCAGGGCGAAACGCTGTCAGCTCCGTAGGCTTGCACCAAAAAGAACGGAGAAATACTTCCGGCACCGCTCTTTCCCTGAGCCGTCGCTCAACCTCCGCCTTTGACTTTCACTTCACTTTCAATCAAGTTTAAGTTGCTGCGGCATACCTTTGCTTTTACCTGTGCGCAACATTCACCAACTGCTGAGCAGCTGACGAACCGAATCAGCAAACGAATCAGCTGAGGTGCAACGTGACTTGCTTGTCGGGCTATCAGCCAGTGGGCAGCTTGCGGTGTGTCCAAGGCAAGACCGTTGGATTCGTTGAAGCGCTGTTCAAATTCATTTAACACTTTGGTATTTATATAGGTTTTGAGGGCTCCCAGAATTCAATAACCAGGACCTTCCCAATGACCTCTTCAGGATTTCCCAGCGACTTTTTGTGATCCCAGAATCATGCTGTTCATGAGATTTCAAAGAGTTTGACAAATCACACCTTGATGGAGCACATCCTGTATCACCTATCACCTGAAAACACTGGAAACATTTATCATTGCTGTCCGCAAAATATGTGGTTTGAACCGGGATATCCGAAGCAATTTCCCCTACCTTTCAACCACCTTTCCGGCACTTATTTCTATCAAATCAATTTCAGAATCCCTACAGGCGCACCTGGTTCAGCAACTCATTTGGCATGAAATGTCTCCGCGTGCAGGCGCCTATGAGCTCAGTGGCTTGGGCTGTGTGGCCAGCGCTGTGGCCACACGCACTGCGCAGGTGGCTGCCGCCCAGGTGCGCTTTCGGGTGGCACGAGAGGATCAAAAGAACTAGTAACTAGTCCAAACAGTGGGTAATTTTAACTCAGTGGGCCCTTTTTCTGGTGCTATCAATGTTCGATCATGATCGAAGCAATTCTTTGAGACGTGATAGCACCATGCTGTGCCAGGTCGTCCTCGTCTCTGTCTCTGAGGCAGAGGCCAACACCACCCGAGGCCGGGCTGAAAGAGATCAGACTGTCAAGCTCCAAAAGACTTAAAGTCATGGGCTCCTCATACACTCCTCAGAACCCTTCTCGTGATTGATGTGCACCACCCCGATTCAAACTCCTTGACAAAAAAGGTTTCATGCAATCATATTACCCATCCACAGCCTTTTATATAAGTTTTATATACCTATGATGCCCATCAAAGCTTTATTCAGCCTCTCAGCCCTCCTCCTCGGCCGGCGCTTTTGTCCCTTTGACCCACCACCACCTGAGCATCGTTCAAAACCTAGTTGTTCATATTTAGTAAGGACATGGTCATAAGTCATAAGGACACTGTGCGTAAGCCAAAACCTGATTTGCGTAAGTTTGCGTAAGGTTGCGTAAGCAGTTTCTGGCTGTAGCACTTGCGTAAGGTAAGTGCGTAAGCTTCACTTCTCCAAGTAAAAGATGCAACAAGTCAAGTGCGCAAGCTCATGTTGTGGTGTGGTGGATAAAGTTTGTCCGTATTTGTTTTTGCGTAAGCTCCGCGTAATCACTTCATGTCCCCTGCGTGGCACGGAAGCTGAAATGTGAGTCGCGTATACGGAAAGCTCACGCATGTGCGTTTACGCACCTCCTTGCGACCCATGACTCTCCAAACATAGCCCAGACACTCCATGGGACTGCCATAGGACTGCCGATCAGTTGGGGTGGTTTGGGGGGTCAATGGGGCGGCATATCTAACGGAAGCTAAGGCTTCACGCCACATACCATTTTTCCAGGTGTGGGGGCTCCAACTTGGATTCACTGTATGACTTTGAAACCTTCAAATCCAGGTCATCAAGGCAGGAAACATGGAGTGGGCCATTTGGCAATTTGGGGAGTGTCTGGCAGATCAGTGTATTGTGCTGGCTTTCCGCCGAGCAGTCGCATGGAGTGTCTGGGTAGGTTTTGAACAAGGCTCACCTGACCCATGACGCCCCAACCCGCGGCCTCCGCGCAGGTCGCGTGGAGCGCTCCGCGCGGGGCCTCCTGGGCCTCGACGCCACGGTGACGCCGGCGCAGCTGGCGACGCTGGTGGCCGAGGAGGCGGCCGTGGTGGAAGCGGAGGGATGTAGTGGATGGGGTGATGGTGATGGGATGTCATGGCAGGTTTTATGGGACATCACACAAGATCACACAGGTTTTTTTGGACATTCTTCTGAAAAGATCAGAATCTGGTGATTGACGTGTTTTTGAATGCGTTCTTTTCTTTGAGGGGTGTCTTTTTGGCAGATTAGGGAGAGTGTACACCCGCCCTCCTGAAGGTGGACCACCATTGAGGGCCAAGTCTGTTTGCACCGCAGGAGGGACCATAACATTTGATCAATATATATATATATATATAAATATAGATCACCCATCCTTGGCTTGACAGTCGATTGAGCATGGCGAATGTGGTTCCGCGGAACAAGATCTGGTCCATGAACTTGCATCCAAGCTCACATTGTGGGCTGCATCTTAAATGAACGAATTCCAAAAGCACGGCTTCAATTCTTGCAAGGTCGACTACTCGGACGTCCACCTCGGGGTTTGGGTGTTAAACTTCACCACTGGATCACTTCCATCCATTGATTTCCATCACTTCCGGTTGGCAGGTTGGCCGGTCCAAACACCCCAGGTCCCATGTCTTTCCGGATGATGAGGAGAAACATGTTTCCTTTGTCAGACAGACAATGTCTTCGCCCCACCAGTTCTCGCTTTTGGCATGTGGATTTCAAACTCCCATTGTCACCTTTGAAGGAAAAAGGTTTGTTCAGGTTGGGGATGGATTTTCACTGATCACTTCATATCACTTCCGTCATTGTGTTGCAAGTCAGTTCCTCTTAACTAAATCACTCCAACTGGCACAACTGGATAACTTCCATCATCTTCCAACACTTCCGCTTGGCAGGTCGGAACACCCCCACAGTCCTTCAGTCCCTCTTTGAATCGCTCCCAGGTCCCCAGCATTTCTCCGCTCGACCGCGCCTTGGCGCTCGCCGCGCTGCAGCAGCTCTCGCCCGAGGCCGCGCTTCGCGCGGCGCTCCGCACGCTGCTGACAGCGGCGATTATTCCGGAGGTTGAGGCGCCGGAGGTGGTGGTGAGGAATGTTGGGACACGGAATGTTGCGTGCACAGTGTATCACAGTGTGTTTGTACACTTGTTTGTTGTTCCCTGAAGTTCTTATTACACATTAGACTGATGTATTGGTGAATATATATGTAAGATTAAAGATTAGTATAAATCTTCTCGTGCTCACCCAAACAAGGTGTGGATCATGTTCTGAAGTTCCAAACTCTCCTGTATTCCAAGATTTTAGCACTGCCAAACATGTGTGTTTGCAACCGAGGGTCTGTGATTCTTTGGGCACTTCGTATTGCAGCAAAAATGAAAAGGGTTTTCCAACCTCCACCAGTCTTCCAACTTCATGAACATGCATGAACTTCACAGTCTAACTCCTTTTATCACTGAATCCCAAAATTAGATGCTCGTCCCTTCGGCCCCACAAAAAAGCACCCTGCAGCGCCACGCCCACGCACACGCAGCCGGGGCCGGCACCAGGCCATTTTCCCAGTGGTTGAGGTGGCGCTCACGCGCCTGGACGCCCATGGCGTCTGGGCCAATGCTTCGGAGGTCTTAGTGCAGAGCAGCCCCTTGGCTCTCGCGGTATTCGTCGAAGGGGAGCGAGGTGGTGGTGGGGGGAGACCATATAGGGATTGATTGATGATTCAATGATTGACGATGTACAGCATCTTTATGTATCTTTATGCATTATTCCCTTGGTTGTGAGATGTGCATATATGTAAAGACACCAGTTTTGGTCCATGGACTCTTTTTTTTGAGACTTCACCCCCCAGGCCGTTTCAGAGATCTTACAATGCGTGTTTGGGTGACGGGAGGTTGATGAATCACGATTCTGCATTTGTTTTTTGTGGTTGACCTTTTTGATCCATTAGGATGGATTCAGATTGATTATGTGCATGTTAGGATGTGCCTAGTTACTCGTTTGCTCTCCATGATGTGACATGTATGTTTTCCTTTTTAGATAATATGTCCTGCAACATGCGAGCAGGCTTGGTCGCAAGGCTGTGCCGCCCTTGCTACTTGGGTACGATGTGACATGTTTGGAAAGCATGCAGGAACCCATTGTGGCATTGGTAGCACCAACAATGTATCGACCAAAGGAGTTTGGCTCAAAAACATTCAGATGTTCGTCTTTGAGCTTCGTGGTCCTTGCATTCATCATGCGAGGACGCAGACATGCTTGGAAGTCGAGATGCTTGGTGTGTTGGGCTTTGCTTGCTTTGACCCATCGGATCTTTTTGACTATGCCTCGCACTCATCCGTTCTCCACCATCCCCTCTTGTAGCAGCTTGGTCACTGGCTCTTCATGGGCACGCAGCCTCCATAGCTCACCTGTTTCATTTGGCTCACTGGGTTCATTGCACTCACCTGGCTCCCCAGGTTCATTGACCTCATCAGGCTCCTGGTACTCACTCGTTCCATCCAGATCGACCTCACCAGCTCAAGCTGCCCAACCCCCTCACCGTCGCCCGGAGCGACCGGTAGAGACGGAGACCGACGGCGCGTCCTTGGCGGCGGCCGTGCTGGGCGGTGCGGAGCTGGAGCGAATCCAGGCGGCCTTTCGAGCCAAGGCACTGGAGGCGAGGGAGTTGGCAAGGGGGTTGGAAGTAGGAGTGAGCTTTTGTTGAACTAATGACATCTGGTATATTTATATAATTATATATATAATATAACTATATATATATATATACATTATGTAGGCCATTATAGGCCAACGGAACACGGGAAAGCCACAGGTTACAGGCCCAAGGGACAGAATGGATTCTCAACGTAGCATTAGTGCACGATTCTTTCCTGATCACAGACTCATCAGTCGTCTTTGGTGCACTCACGTTTCACCACGCTTTGGAGGCGATCCATGTGGGAGACTTGAAACCGGGCATCGAGCTGGAGTTGATCTCTGCCTTGGATTTGCAAACGATCACGTGGAGCCACGTGCCAGTGACCTGGATTTTT